GGCTACCCATTTTTGTTAACTCTGTAATGTGATGTTCTCGTAAATTCGAAAACTGTCTTGCTAATTCCAGGTTAGAATGTTCTGCGCACCGAACCTTCTACGCCGAATGTTCCGGAAGCCCACGCGTGTACAAAGCGGGCTCCGCGTGGCGAGCCGCAGTCAGTCTTGCCCCAGCGCTCGATCCTGCGGTTACGCCGACATCGACGCCCGCGATGCTCTGCTGTTTTTCTCTGTTCCCTCTTTGTTTTGGGCACAAGTTCGCCCAATTATACGTTTAGTTTCTTCAGTTATCAGAGCCTTATCAATTGACATTCGTAACAATATGCAAGTCTCCAAAATGACTTGCTGGCGTGTCGTCTTCATAACGCGAATATAGCCAAGGAACTTTGAGTTTGTCACTGGCAGGCCTTTACGAACTAAAACCAAGGCGTTTAGCTGAACATTGCGAAGATTGCTGCTGTTGCGATTGTCAAAGTTTTGCTTCATTCTCGCCCGATAGTTGAACTCTTCGACCGCCGTTTACTTTTGTTCCTTGAGCTTCAACTTCTCGAAAATTCGCAACTGGTTGTACGCTGGCAATTTAGAAGCTTCTCCAAAGACCACATAATGTGGCCTGCACCCAAGAGTGGTAGTGTGCGAATGGTTGAGATGTGACACTGCCGCCGCGAGGCTACATTTATATACTACTTTGAAGGTTGCATACATCATCATGTGCCGTTTAATGTCTCGGATGACTCTCTGCCATGCCAGTGGCTGCCGGATGGTATGGAGATGACCGCTGCAAAATAATTGCGAGCTCTAGAACCCAGTTCCGGAGGCGTTTGCTTATAAGGGCAGTCGGTTGTCAGAAGCGACGGTCCTGGCATATTTGAAGACATCCCGCTGCAATAGACGATTCCGCTATTTGCATCTTCCTCTCTGGGACGGGCGACGAATATTTGTGAGCACTGGCCTATGCAAACCTAAAATGCTTGAGCTTTCTGAAGGCCTGTCTTCTTTTGAGTTCACCGATGTCCAGGTGAACAGTCTCGATGGGTTTTGGGAGTGTTTTGAAAGAAACATTTTGTCAGTCCGCAGACGGTATTTGGCTTTATGGAGTTCGCATGTGTGGCAGCATGTCACGTACTTGTTTGTCCTGCCTCAATGTAAAAAAAAAAGCGGGAAAAAATCTAAAATTTGTTTTAAAATGTGTAATAGCGACAATCATTGCACAATTTTTTTTTTTTTTTTTGTGCTTCCTCTTGAATGTCGTTTTTCCCGGCTCTGTTGCTGCTTTCTGCAGGCGGTCAGGGACCCGTCAAGGTGTACCTGACAGCTTTTTTCCCTGATCGCCACCATCGTATGGTGGAAAATAAGCATTATTATTATTATTATTATTATTATTCCATCTGAAAATTGTTCCAGCTGGTTGTAAGTGCGCCAAAACCCGTAATACCCGCGTGAATCCGGATAACGTGATACAGTATCAGCACTTTAGGAATTAGTGTTTCGGGTACGGTCTACTTTCCGGCTCCAAATTTGAAGTCTTCTGTTCCTTCCCATTCATTATGAGAGATTTTCCTCCTCGAACGGGAGGTCTACAGTCAGCCATGACAATGCACCCGCGTCAGTCAGAATATTTTGTTTACAATGACCGAGATATAAAGAAGGTTAGCATTGTTCAAGAAAACAGTTTCTCTTGGTGTCATTGGGCGGAGACAGAAGCCCTTTTTCATTAGTTTTTGGCATCGCAATCTTCATTCCTGCCACTTCGACGTCGTCCTCTTGGGACATGTTGACGGTGTTGGGGGTCGTCTCCTTCTGTCTACAATAATTTGGGGAAGTACTTTGTTCAAATGATCTAGTTGACCAGGTGCCATACCTTCCAGCATTCTTTTTTTCTTTTTGTCTAATGACACGCTTGGCTTTGGTGGAACCGAGCATTGAAAAACACTTTCAACCGCTTATGTGGATTGGGGTATAGAGGCAAGGTTGTTGAATACGTCTTAGCAGTCCTTAAAACGTCGGGCGAGATTTCACCGTGATTTACTTTTGTAGGTCGTTCGTCAGCCCATGAATTATTAAGGGAACTAATGAGGTGTCAGGTAACTTTGAATCTGCGAGCTGCAGAAGCATCCTCTTATCAAAAAAGTACGGCAGGGCATGCCCGTATTTATATTGTAGGCTATCGTGCGATCCCATGCTTGTACCTCGTTCTCATAAAAAAAAGATCGTCTCGCTATTCCTGCCATTACTCATGCCCGTACTAAAGCACGTGAAGATTTTACCACAATTTATACATCCCATCGAGAAAGACAAGTAAGTTGTTAACCTTCTTTAACCTAAGACAGGGTACTTTGAAGACTTTAACCAATATCTTCAATGTGCCCGAAGTGTCGAAGCCGGCTCGGCTCCTTGATCACGGATGACTGTATGTGGGCGCAAAGGTAGCAATCTCTCGTTGACTTATTCTTCTCTCTCTTAGCATTGTTTTCTTCTTCTGCTTTTGTGTGGGGCGCATCGTAGCCCGTGGATATAGCTGCTTGGCAGCGTTCCGGTGGATTGTTTTAGATTGTGGTCAGTATTTTGTATGTCCAAAGATTCTAATAAGAGACGCAAGTCTTGTTGACTGTAAGGTTAGTCTTAAAGATAGAAACGGAGCTGGTCAATTGTACATATCGTTTGGCAAGTTGGACTACAAGCAGTCCTGGCTCTTAAGGCATCCATAAAAAAGTCGAAGACGTTGTTATCGCCATGGCCCGCACCACTGCCGAAGAATATCTAACAACACTCACTGACTCCTGAACTGCATGCCACAGCTTCCTCATCGAACGGATATCACAACCAGCATTCACAATCCTACAACAAGTGAAGTAACTTCCAGAACGACATATTGTCTGATCCCCATGGGCAAGAATCTCTCAAAGGAAACGAGGCGGCACACGCAGTTGCCGCGCTCATACGCACCGGGCTGTTTCCCAAGGGGGAGCAGACTTTCAAGCTCAAAACACCCTCAAGCCGAGGCCTCTCCAAAAATACGCCTATATACTCGCCCACTACCGGCATGAGCACCAAAAATGTCCAGCATCCCACCCGCTCCTATTCATCTTCCGACGACTACAAACTAACTTTTACACCCACAATTCCCTACTCCATGCCGTGTACCCCACACTCTACCCAACCTTTTGTAAATACTGCTCGACCCTGGCGCCCTATACCACCTGGTATAGGAGTGTGAATTAACCCCACCAATTGCTCCTAATCTCAAAGCCAAATACGAGCAGAGGGCGGCACAGCTGACCAGCTCCGACCTCTCTTCTCAACGTAGCCTGGTGGAGAGGGTCCTGTGAGCCAAAAAAGGCCAGGGTACCCCGGACAAGAGAAAAAAAAACAAAAAACACAAGGCGGGTGCCAAGACATCAGCGCCTCAGGCTAATAATATTGAAGTTTTTACTTCCTCCTCCGTAGAGACAAACATCTGTTTCTCGCACAACAGATTTCGTGTTTTCTTTTTTTTTCGTTTTTTGATGGGCGTCGAGTCTATAAAATATTTTTTTTTCGCAGAAATTAAAAAGTGAAAGCCGTTTACAACTCCCTGTAACACCGAATTAGAGCGCAGCTCTTGAGGAGGAGGAGGGAAGGGTACTGGGTGGTGAAGTGACCTGGGGGGGGTCATGTGACCTTGGAGGGTCACGTGACGATGCCGATGATGTAATCAGTGACGTCACTGATGACGTCATCCGTGATGATGACGATGACAATGAGGATGCCGGTGACGTCATCAGTGACGTCACTGATGACGTCATCAGTGATTATGACGATGACGATGTGGATGCCGGTGAGGTCATCAGTGACGTCACTGATGACGTCATCAGTGACGATGACGATGCGGACTCCGATGACGTCATCAGCGATGATGACGATGACGATGCGGATGTCGGTGACGTCATCAGTGACGTCACTGATGACGTAATTCGTGATGATGACGATGACGATGCGGATGCCGGTGACGTCATCAGTGACGTAACTGATGACGTCATCAGTGATGATGACGATGACGATGCGGATGCCGGTGAGGTCATCAGTGACGTCACTGATGACGTCATCAGTGATGATGACGATGTGGATTCCGGTGACGTCATAAGTGACGATGACGTCATCGGGGAGGTCACGTGACCTCGGCGGGGGGTCACGTGACCCTGGGGGTGGTCACGTGACCTCGGGGGTCACGTGACTTTGGGTGTCACGTGACCTTGGGGGTCACGTGACCCTAGGGGAGGGGTCACGTTACCTCTGGGGATCACGTGACCTTGGGGTGACCTTGGGAGCCACGTGACCTTGGGGGCCACGTGACCTTGGGATGACCTTGAGGGTCGCGCGACCTTGGTGTGACCTTGGTTACGCCGACGGCGACGCCAACGGCGACGCCGACGCCGCTCAAGCCGGGAACGGGCCCCTAAGAGCTGCGCTCTAAAATGGTCACCGGACATGGTCGGCCGAACTTATCTTAAAACTCCCACATGTTTCAATGCACAAAGTCCAAGTGCAATTCCACCATGCTCTATGGAACACACATCTTTGAAACTAAAACATAGATGACGGTTCAAACGATGGGAGGCACGCTGAAGTGAGTGAGGTGGGGGGGGGGGGGTACCCCTCCGCGGGAGTTCTGCACCTGAGGTAATCTAATAACGTTGATCATAAGTCACGTTACGATAGATCATGCGCCGTCCCACGTAGGAAACGGACGAGCAGGCAATGCGATTTAGTTTACTTAGATTCCTGTTCTTTACTAAAACGATGCGGATGACAACCAAAGCTACGAGACTAGAGACAGCAGGAAAAAGCGAGTAATTGAGAAGGACAGCGTCTCATTTGCACCATTAGCCCGTAGATTTTGATTACGTAACCTAGGTTCCACCTTATTAGCAGTGTTTGATCACACTTTCTGTTCAATAACTACTCATTGGTTAGAAGAACTTGCAATCACAAGGTGCCAATTACTTTCACAAATATGCACGTTAGAACAGGTCAATAAAACAAGGCCACACACTATGATTACACGGGTCTATTCTTGCGAAACATGGAGGCCAGAAAGCTGCCGGAGACTCATGGTGTCGTTCCAGCGACGCTGCGATCCAGTCCAGTTGTGTCGATACTCTGGCAAAGACGGTTGGCTGATTTGCCTTTCCAAATACAGTACCCCAAGATGTGCACCCCGCGAGGACGTAGCGGTCGTCCGACCTCGAGCATTGAAGAGGTCCTCCGGAGTCACCCTGGGCCGGAAGTGAAGATATGTTGCACGACTCGACAAAACAGAAGCAAGTCAGTGATTTCAAAATTTGCTGAACTTCTGAACCTTAAGATCAGTTGAAAAATCGAATATCTTCAAATTTATTATCGCGAAAAATTTAAAATTCCGAAATTCATTTAACTTATTAGCGTCAACACCTTGAGAGTTAAAAATTTGTGAAATATTATATTGTAAAAAAAGTTTAAAACTTTAAAACGCTTCGAACCTTTCAAGCCTCGGATAGGAAAAACTATCAACGGTATCTCTAATAAAAAGCCGCTTTTGGAGTGCAGAAAAAAAAGAGTTTAATGCTAGCGCTGGACATGCGCAGTATGGCGTCTCTGTTGAGAACATAGCGGTGGGAAAGAAACGGCAATATTGGGAGAAAAACGCCCCACGAAAGCTTAGTATTGTTAAGTCGTTTCTCCGCTAAGTTCAATGCACAAAGTGGCATCACGTGATGTGTATGTACGTCGCAGTACTATGACTTGGCACCACGGAGTCACGTCAAGTAACCACGTCAAGTGACGACATGGTAAGACGCTACACCTCAAATTATCATCGATGTGGCATCAGTTTCCCGGCTACATTTACTTTAAATTGCAATGGCCGACGGATCAAGTAATTTCTGCTACCATTGCGTACCTTAAAAACAAAATATTTCATGTTTTATGTAAAAGTGAAAGTCGCTTACAACCCCCTGTAAAATCGAATTACAGCGCAGCTCTTGAGGAGGAGGAGGGAAGGGTACTGATCAGAGCGTATACCCCTCCTCTTTCCTCTTCACCTCCTCATCATATCTGCTACCCCTCCCTCCGAGACTCGTCGGCGTCGCCTTCGCCGTCGGCGTAACCGGAGGTCACGTGACCCTCGTGATGTCACATGAGCCTCGTGACCTCACGTGACGTCGACGGGGTCGGTGACCTCACGGGGGTCCCGTGACGTCATCGCCATCGTGAGTGATGGCGTCACACGTGACGATGATGTCACCAGTGGCGTCATCGTGATGATGATAATGACGATGAGAATGACGTCATTGTGATGACGTCATCACTATGATGTCAATGATTACGCCATCAGTGACGTCATTGTGAGTATAATGATGACGTCACTGATGACGTCATCAGTGACGTCGCAAGTGACGCCACGCGTCTTATAATGCACCGCGCGGTTACGCCAAAGCCGACTCTGACGCCGAAGGCGACAGCGACGCCGCAAAAGCCGGAAACGGGCGCCTAAGAGCTGCGCCTTAAAACGAAGGGCAACGGCACTTTTTTTGGGTGGCATTTTTGTTCTCTGAGTATTATAGTTATAACAAGGGAAATTGTCAACGCCTTTTCGGGCTCTTTGGAATTGAACAATTCAGTTGCGAATATATGATTATCCATATCTGATTCGGATCATCTTTACAGGTACACAGGCAACGCGTGCTTTGTCAGGTGGTTCTCTAATGTGTGACGAGGAAGGCCGTAACTGTAAATACTGTAAAATGAACGCCCAGCAATTTATGTTCCCTCTACAAAAAATAAATTTCTCCAAATGGAATAATTTCTTATTTATAGGGTGCATATAAATCTAACTGCAAAATATCATCCGGTGCATTATTGTACTTCGTCGTACTACGGCCCTGTAACGCGTTGATAACTAGTGTGCGCGTCTTAAGAAGTAGCCCATTTATTTCCAACTGACGACGTCAAAGGATCGTAATGTCGCCAGCCATGATCCTTGCAGTTTGGCAGCAGCGGTAGTGGTTGAGGCTGCGGTCAATTGGTGACTGCAGCCTCGCTACGGCCATCTGCTTCAGCCGAAAACACTTATAAATAGCGACCAAGCAGAGTTCTCTGAGCTCAGTGGTTTTGGGTTACACGGGGCATCTCCTGCTCTCTTGCCGCCGGCCAGTGTGAGTATTATTCAGCAACACCAGCTCCATACCAGTGACTCCCTTGAGCACTTTTGTTTCCTATGTCGAAAAAACTCGGCAGAGAACCAGAATCAATCGGATGTGGCAAACGCTTTTGCGTGTTGCACTCAAGCTTGAAACTGCACTGAAGCATCGGCAGTCAGGACGCCGCGACGACAGCGATACCGCGTGCTACCCTCTCACTTTTGGCCGGGACTCGCAACTGCCAGGATCGCGACATCTGAAAAGAGGCCAGCTTTTGTGTCACCATCTGTTGCCACTTCGGGACCAAGCATGTCGTATGGGAAGGATAGGACAATAATTACCTGTGTGAAAGACGCCTTGCAGACACCGTAGCTGTAGCGCCATATATAGACCAGAGTGTCGAACCGATATTTTTATTGGTTCGGTTCGGGTTCGGGTTCACGGCTTTCGGTTCAGTTCCGGTTCAGTTCCAGGGCGCAAAAAATAACGGTTCAAACCGGTTCGAACCGGTTCGAACCGGTTTGAACCGCTAAATTGAGAATATATTTTCCGCGTTGTTCTGTCAATAGGCGCTATTTAGGCCGTGAAACTAACTGCTGTAAACGATCTGATTTTTGCGAGGACCTATTTTTGAGAATTTCGCGAATCACCTACAATTCGCGAAAAATGGGTCCCGCGAACAATTTCGGTAAAATGTAAACAGATTGAAATTTATATTGAGATTCCACCGCGTCGAGAAAATTACAACCCGCGAATTATTCCAAAACTTCAGCTTTGACATAAATCGCGAAATATTGAGCCCACGAAAAATAGTCGTTTACAGTATATTGTCACGGGTGGTGACTAAAAAAACAATAAATAAACAGGAAGAAATAAACGTTTAATGTGGCGAACTTGTGCCAAAAATAAAAGAGTACAAAAGATAATAATAGAGCGTCGCGGGCGTCGAAGTCGGCGTGGCAGCAGAGTCGAACGCTGGGGCGAGACTGACTGTGGCTCGCCACGCGGAGCCCCTTATGTACATGAGTGGTCTTCTGGAATAATCGGCGTAGAAACTTCGACGCGTAGAACATTCGGGCCTGGAACAAGCAACATGATTCTCGAATTCTCCAGAACACTGAATTGCAGGAATAAACAAAAGACACGTCACTCCCAGGATTCGAACCCTACCTTTTCGCGTAGGAGGCAAGCGCGATAATCGTTAGGCCACGCGCGCGCTGCCTACTTCGCCAGCTGCGCGCGCGGCATTACTCCCCCCTTTAAAAAGTGCATCGACCCGATGCAACCCAAGAACAAAACAAATAAAAATAACGGTAAACTAAAGAGTCCTTTGGAACATATAAGGTCCACAGTCCTATCTAGCGTAGTACGGCTTCAGTCGCACGACGTGGACGACTTCCGGTCGTGGTGGGCGGCGTGATGATGTTCTTGTTCCGTCGGGCATCACCTCGTAGTTCAGGTCCCCGAGTCGACGAAGCACTTTCTAAGGTCCAAAGTAACGTTTCAGGTGTTTCTCGCTGAGACCGCGGCGGCGAATCGGTGTCCACACCCACACCCTGTCTCCGGGCTGGAAGTGGACGTCCCGAAGACGAAGGTTGTAGCGGCCAGTGTCGATACGTTGTTGGGCTTGAATCCGGAGTCTGGCGAGCTGACGGACTTCTTCTGCCCTTTGGGCAACCACCTGGGCGTCGTCGCTTGCGCCGACAGCCGGTTCGTGGGGTAACATAGCGTCCAGCATTGTCATTACCTTCCGCCCATGCACCAGTTGAAAGGGTGTCACTCCGGTGGTTTCTTGTACGGCCGTGTTGTAGGCAAAGGTGACATACGGCAACACCACGTCCCATGTCTTGTGCTCCACGTCGACGTACATGGAAATCATGTCGGCGATGGTCTTGTTGAGTCTTTCCGTCAGCCCGTTGGTCTGAGGGTGGTACGCCGTGGTGCGACGATGGCTGGTGTGGCTGAGACGAAGGACTTCTTGTGTCAGCTGGGCCATGAACGAGGATCCACGATCTGAGATCAGGACTTCGGGAGCGCCGTGCCGGAGGACGATGGATTCAATAAAAAACATGGCAACTTCCACAGCAGTTCCGGAAGGAAGGGCTTTCGTTTCGGCGTACCGCGTGAGATAATCTGTGGCGACGATGATCCAGCGATTTCCCGACGTCGACGGCGGAAAAGGGCCAAGTAGATCCATTCCGATCTGCTGGAAGGGTGCCGTTGGCGGAGGAATTGACTGCAAGAGTCCGGCCGGCTTCGTTCGAGGTTTCTTTCGTCGCTGGCATTCATGGCATGATCGTGTGTATAAGTGGACGGTTTTGGGGAGCTTGGGCTAGTAATACTTTTCACGAATACGGGCCAGTGTCCGGCTGTAACCAAGGTGTCCGGACGTCGGGTCGTCGTGGCAGGCTTGGAAGATCTCCTCTCGAAGGTCGCTCGGGATTACCAGCAGCCACGTCGAGTTGTTGTTGCCGAAGTTCTCTTTGCAGAGAACTCCCTGTCTAATGGCGAAGGTCGGCAGGGCTCGTGAGAAAACACGTGGAATGGCACTCCCACGCCCTTCAAGGTGCTCTATTAGTGCGCGCAGCTCAGGATCGTCTCGTTGTCGTCGGGCCATGTCGTCGCTGTTCAGTGCGCCTAGAAAACACTCGTCGTCATCGCCGTCGCTGCTGTCGGAAGGTGTTTCGACGGGAGCTCTGGACAGGCAGTCGGCGTCGCTGTGCTTGCGGCCAGACTTGTAGAATACGGTCATGTTGAACTCTTGTAGTCGATGACTCCATCGCGCAAGGCGTCCTGACGGGTCCTTGATGTTCGCAAGCCAGCAGAGCGAATGGTGGTCCGTGACTACGCGGAACGGGCTTCCGTATAAGTACGGACGAAACTTCGTGATCGCCCAGACGACCGCAAGGCATTCTTTTTCAGTCGTGGAGTAATTTCGCTCCGCCTTGGACAATGTCCGACTTGCGTAGGCGATGACTCGCTCGGTGCCCTCTTGTACTTGAACCAGTACCGCGCCAAGTCCTCCGTTACTTGCGTCCGTGTGAATCTCGGTTTCCGCATCCTGGTCGAAATGTCCAAGAATAGGAGGCGCCTGCAGT